AATAAAAAAAATTAAGAAAATAAAAAAAAAAATTGATCGATTTTACCTTTCTCGGTATTCGAACTCACGTAAATGGTGTATAATTGCACATTTACAATAGCAATTGCGTCTGTGTGAGTGTATGTATGCCTATGCGCATCTATTCGTGTCTGTGTAAGCATTTTCGCAGTCAACCAAACAGCAACATCAACAACAGCCGCGGGCAGCGCTTGAGCAGCGCTTGAGCAGCGCTGCAGCAGCAAATATATTTATGGTGGCTATAACTTCTCGTTAAATCGGTCTATCATTGTGAAACTTGGCATACGGACACATAATAACCAACTGGGGGGGTATTTCCAAAATTTTAGTTCGGAATTCCAAGAATTAGAGTTACGATTTGCGTGGTAGAGGGGGGAGGGAGGGAAATTCCAAAATATACATTTTCTGCGTATTCACATAAGGCATCTGGGACTAAAATTTGGTGTTCCTAGGTCTTATAGTCTCCGAGATATAGGCGATTATACGAATGGAAAATCGGGAAAACCCCCATAGGGGGGAAGTGGGGGGGGGGGGGAATCAAAAAAAATAAAACAAACTCGTATAGAATACACACATAACGCATCTTTGTGCAAAATTTGGTGTCTCTATCTCTTATAGTCTCTGAGATCCAGGTGTTCATACGGACGAACAGGCAGACCGACAGGGCTAAATCGACTCGTTTCGTCATGCTGATCAAGAATATATATACTTTGTGGGGTCTGCCACGCCTCCTTCTGCCTGTTACATTTTTCAGCTCCCGCAAACCTAACCTAATACATTTCATGTACAGAGTATAATAAAATATATGCATCATGGAAATGTCAATAAATTGAAAAAGGGTTGGAAAAAAACCAGTACCAGTAGACAAAAAAGTAGAAAACATATTTTATAATTGTAAAAAATAAACCTTTGGTGTGAATCAGACCCATCAGTGCAAAATCGATGGTAAAAATAGTTAAATCTACGTGTAAATATTGAAATTTCTGTGGTTTTTTTTATCAGTGCAGCACGCATATAACCCATAGGCGGACGTTTTTTTTGGCTACAGGGTATTGCATATGTCGGGCCTGCCCGACTGTAACTTTCGAGCTCGTCATAGTACGAGTATTTGTTTATGTCGGTTCTTTTAGTAATGTTTCATAATTTGGCATTTGTATCGGGAAACAATGTGATGTTGATGTGACTTGGTATCCAAATAAATTTGAATTATGTATGAACAGTTTGGCAATAGAATACATACATACATATGTATGTGATTTGTATGTATTATGAATTTTTAAAGCGTAAGTCGTAGCGGAAGATAAACCTATTATTTTAATACCCTGCACACTAAGTGTTTCAAATGTATGTAACACGGAAAAGGAGGCATGTCAGACCCTATGTTATGAGCATATAAATTTGTATGTATGTACATATATGATCAGCAATGCTGGGCGAATCGTCTGTCCGTCTGTTCATTAGTCCGTCGATAAATTTGTAGTCATCACTAATAGATATCGAAACACCAGACGTTCAAAGAGCATCAAACTATTCTAGTGACAATTCTGAAACTTATTGTAAGAATGAAATCCCAACATATCTCAAGGTAGATGTTAAACAATGAACAAAATATACATATGTATATTGTATTAATATTACATTTACAATAAATTAGAGGAGTTTTACTATTTGAATAAAATCGTATTACAACATACTCGTCGAACAAATACTCGTCAACATTTTTATTGCTAATATTGTCCAATAATTTGAATATCAATGTGCCAATATTAAATAGATAGATAATATATAATACAAGTAAGTACCTATTGCTTATGCCAAAAAGCGGAAGATTGGTAGAAAGAACGCTGGAGCATTGAGGGTATTTGGAAGTTCAAAAACAAAACAACAACAACAAAAATGAATTGTTCAAGGCATATGCCACTTACAATTTTGATCACATATACATATGTACTTATATCTGCATATGTGTGCTCACATATGGAACTAAAGAGCATATCAATGTGTGTCAATGGGTTGTCGGTTTCAATTGCAGTCCCTGGCTTGCTGGTTCGCAAGCAGACATCCTTTACACGTGGCTGCCAGGACGCACTCACAAGCCCACGAGAGCACACTCTCGCGCACACATACACATCAGCATGTGTGGAAGTTGCTTAGATATGTTTTTAATTACAACTAAATTGGAATAGGCATTAAATACCAATGCCATCTGAGTTTGCAAGACATGGCAGTCGACACATACTCGCACGCACCAGAAAATGGGAAATGGTCGCCATAGAGAGCGGGGCAAGGTCGTTTGGGCTGTCTGTCGTACTTGACACAAGTTTGTCTAATGCGCAAACTTTTAATTGAGTTTAAAATTGTATGAGTGCAGCATTTGAATAAAGACGACGCTTTCGTCCTGCTTCAGAGAAGGGGCCCATGGAGCATACATCGGAACTAATATGCGCGCATAGAATCAAGAATTTATGAGTTGGAGCATTGAAATGCGTATGCGTGAGTGCGTATTTTTCAAGTGTTTCGGTTACAATCCCAGTAAATTGCCCATGAAATATTAACCTTCCCGTAATGAGACGCCATTTTTATGCATCGTAATTCGCCTAACTTAATGGCGAGCTGGATGTGGGCATGTTGTGAGTGTTTTCTTGCCAAAGCCATGTGTTTTTGGGTTGTGTTTCTCCCAAAAATACCTGAGATACCCCAGAAACTATTACCGCTTCGGTGGTCATATTAAAAATACTTTGCGTACAACGTCGAGTTTTATGGCCAATAAGCCTCACCTCTTTCAAAAGGGATTCTTTTCGGGATTAATTTGAAGTCGCCTGCGCATATTTTCATGCACATATAAACATACGAGGACAGTACCTTTTTTCATTAACTCGTATATTAAACATTCGACATAAGACACATTTATGTGTGTGAAGCTAGTTACAAGTATTATGCATCCATGATTAGATACCAAAATCGTTGTACACGTAATATATGTATGTATGTATATGATGAAATTAGCTTTTGAATTATTTATTTATTATTTCATTACCTTCTGTCCATATAGATTACAAAGATGTGTTATACTTGTAATTTTAACATAGATAAAAATCCCAAAAATTATCTAGGGATGTTTTTAGACCTAACCCAAAAAAAAAATTTCTAAAAAAGAGTAAAGCAAAGAAATCTAATTAATAGTGAACTAGATTAATTAAGGAGAAAAATAAGAAATGCTTATAGAGAACAGTTTTTATAAAGAAGAGAAAATTCTTTGGAACAAAAAAGTGATGATCACCAAAGAGGGCAGAAGAGTCATTGCCCATACGATAACAAATGAAGGGGGGTCCCAGCATAAACAACGGAGGGCATTGCTTATGGACCGACTCGCTATATTTCTTGTTTTCTATACTACGAAAGCCAGAAGTATATTGAACTCGTGTTGCCTGATACTTACCTCATACCAAGTTTGGGCTCAACTGTCTCCGAAATCCAGGCAGAAGGACATGGTAATATCGATGCGTTTCGTCATGCTGATTAAATATAGTATATATGTACCTTATGGGGTTTGTTATGATTCTTTCTACCTGTTACAAACTTTCCACAAGCCCTTTTTACCCTTCGGGTACAGGATAGAAAGCTCATTAGCACTTTCAAGAAATTTTTGGTTTTAATTTTCTTTGCAATTAATCCATCACAATTAAATTTGACAAAAAACCACATGGGTTAGGTTAGGTTGACCCGCATAGGTTAAGTTGACCTCAATGTTCCTTAACGATGCAGGTTAGTTGGTGATCGGTAGGGGTTCCGTTTTGTGTTCCATTAGCAGCGTCTAAGAGAAAAGAAATTGCTCAGGAGTTAGGAAAATACCAAGCGTTGTATTGTTTTAAGCACACTAGGCATGGAGAGTCAATTAATTAAGAGAGGGTTTGCATAAATTTGCTAGGAAGGAACAATTTCCATAACGAATATTCGGTGAAAATGATCAGCTTAAAGTATACATACTTGTACATACTCGTACGGTACATAGGTATTTCATTGTGATTTTGCAATGATTTTTGGTTTCGAGACACGTATACAGTCGCAAAAATGCATCACCTGTGAATCAAGTCATACAAATGCACATACTTGCATATATGCATATGTAATTTACATAGTTCGTTTCAATCGAGAGGTATGGGAAAAACTGTGCACATTAAAAACCAAAAACGAAACCTAAAAGCACGCAACAGAAAGGCGAAAAAAAAAACAAATAAAACGCGAAAACTGCACGAGGCACGTTTAATGTCATTTAAAGCTGCAATTACTCAGCACGCTTTGTCTGCGGCTGCCAACAGCCTGAGCACTCTACTTGGCCAGCCTGTGGTTTTGCTTTAATGTCATTTAATAGCCATAGGCGCAATTATTCAGAACGTACCCGACTGGTAGTTGGATGTTGTAGATACCGTTAGCGGCCAAACGGAGCTCCACATGCAATTCCTATGCAAATGCAGCGGCCAATGATGGCAAGGGGACTCCTTCCGGTGCTATAAATTGCACGCTTTACTCGACCCTTATTTTCTAATTAAAATACACGGCATTAAAATAGTGTGCAACACATATAGGACTCGCATATTCACGTACAAGAATAATATGTATAACTCGTCAAAGTATGGGCCACATTTTCCATTATTAATTTAATACTTCATGAAAATCCTGTTCATTAAGCAACCCAAAAAAAAAACACAAATAAAAAATAAAAAGATGGGCTCAACCGGGATTTGAACCCGGGACCTCTCGCACCCAAAGCGAGAATCATACCCCTAGACCATTGAGCCTCTACCAATCTCTTTGATATTATACCGTTTTATTTTATATCGACAAGCAACACAACGCATGCTGGTTTATTTTGTACATATCAGCCAGCTTTTGTATGATACTTATCGATAGGTTTTCTGGTACAACCAATCCGACTACCACATTTTGGCGCCAATTCTGCACAGCTGCAGCACAGCTATTAAAAGCAAACGTCGCAAATGAAGTGCCCAGAATAAGCATTCGGGGAATATACACAACGTATTAAATACTAATCACATCCAGTAAAAACATTGTGTGAATTATACAATAGAAAACTGCATTTTGGTTACACATAATTATGGTAAGTTCTGTACACGTGAGTTTTTGCAAATTTTTTACTTTGTTTTTTGTTAGGACACTCCAAGCTCACCACCGCCAAATACTCCCAGCGATGCCGCAGAGCGCCGCGATTTACGTGCCGTCATGACCTCACCAGTGGGCGATTTTGAACCTTTTGAGAATGAAGATGAAATATTGGGTGATCAGACTGTGCGTGAGGGGGAAGATGAAGATGGCGAGGAGCTGTTCGGCGACAACATGGAAAATGATTATCGTGCGATGCCTGAGTTGGATCACTACGATCCGGCCATGCTGGACGACGAGGAAGATTTTTCAGAGATGTCACAGGGCGAGCGCTTTGCGGCCGAAGCCGAGATGCGTCGTCGAGACCGCGCGCAAGGCATACATCGTGACGATCGCGATCTTGGCTTCGACCAGTCGGATGATGAGGATGATATGGGACCTCGTGCCAAACGACGGGCTGGTGAGAAGGCGGCCGTAGGCGAAGTAGAAGACACCGAAATGATCGAGTCCATTGAGAATTTGGAAGACACCAAGGGCCACTCGACCAAGGAGTGGGTAAGCATGCTGGGACCGCGGACGGAGATTGCAAATCGCTTCCAGTCGTTCTTGCGCACCTTTGTAGACGAGCGTGGGGCCTATACATATCGCGACCGTATCCGCCGTATGTGCGAGCAAAACAAAGCATCGTTTGTGGTCTCGTACACAGATCTCGCCAATAAGGAGCACGTGCTGGCTTACTTTCTGCCCGAGGCGCCATTTCAGATGCTTGAAATTTTCGACAAGGTGGCCAAGGATATGGTTTTGTCCATATTTCCCACATACGAGCGTGTTACAACTGAAATTCATGTGCGCATCTCGGAGCTGCCGCTGATCGAGGAGCTACGCACGTTCCGAAAACTGCATCTTAATCAGCTGGTGCGCACCCTTGGTGTGGTTACGGCCACAACTGGTGTGCTGCCGCAGCTTTCGGTCATCAAGTACGATTGCGTCAAGTGCGGGTACGTTCTGGGACCCTTTGTACAGTCGCAAAACTCTGAGGTCAAGCCCGGCTCCTGTCCCGAATGTCAGAGCATGGGGCCCTTCTCTATCAATATGGAGCAGACGCTATATCGTAACTACCAGAAAATAACGCTGCAGGAGTCACCGGGACGAATTCCCGCCGGTCGCATTCCGCGCAGCAAAGATGTTATACTGCTGGCTGATCTTTGCGACCAATGTAAGCCTGGAGATGAACTGGAAGTCACTGGCATCTACACAAACAACTACGATGGTTCGCTGAATACGGACCAGGGCTTCCCAGTTTTTGCTACAGTCATCATTGCAAATCATGTTGTGGTAAAAGACTCCAAGCAGGTGGTTCAATCGCTGACGGACGAGGATGTAGCAACCATACAGAAGCTGAGCAAGGATCCACGAATTGCCGAACGGGTTGTAGCCTCCATGGCACCTTCCATATATGGCCACGACTACATTAAGCGCGCTTTGGCGCTGGCGCTCTTCGGCGGCGAGTCCAAGAATCCTGGCGAGAAGCACAAGGTGCGTGGGGACATCAATTTACTTATATGCGGTGATCCGGGAACGGCGAAGTCACAGTTTCTCAAGTATATCGAAAAGGTGGCTCCACGTGCCGTCTTTACCACTGGTCAGGGCGCGAGTGCTGTAGGTTTAACCGCCTATGTGCGTCGCAATCCCGTCTCCAAGGAGTGGACTCTGGAAGCCGGCGCTCTAGTGCTGGCCGACCAGGGCGTATGCCTTATTGATGAGTTCGACAAGATGAACGACCAGGATCGCACTTCAATACACGAAGCCATGGAGCAACAGTCCATATCCATATCCAAGGCTGGCATTGTCACTTCGCTGCAGGCGCGTTGCACGGTTATAGCGGCTGCCAATCCGATTGGTGGTCGCTACGATCCATCTATGACTTTCTCTGAGAACGTGAATCTCTCCGAGCCCATTCTCTCTCGTTTTGACATACTGTGTGTGGTCAAGGATGAATTTGATCCGATGCAGGATCAGCAGTTGGCCAAATTTGTGGTGCACTCGCATATGAAACATCATCCGTCCAGCGAGGACGAGCCACAGCTTGAAGAGCCCCAAAACAAAACCGTCGAAGAGATACCGCAGGATCTGCTGCGTCAATACATCGTCTATGCCAAGGAAAATATTCGGCCCAAGTTAACGGTGAGTAAGTAGTTGAATAAATCATATAGGGAGTTTCCAAATATGTTTTATATCGAGTAGAACGTTGAAATCCCGCCCAAGTTCTGTTTATCCGTTACTCGTCCCCTCTCAAACAGTCCTTAATCTTAAATTTCATTATAGATACAACTGTAAGATAATGTACTCCGATTTGGTTCAAATTCCAGTTTATGTAATAAAACTATAATATGTTAGTGTTTCAAAATCGAAGAAGGTTGCAAATTGGCTGAACGTTCAAAAAACTACAGTGTTGCCTTAAACTGAGAAAAACAATATAGAGACATATACATACTTATATAAATATATTTAAATTAATTACTATCCCTTCCTTCCTGCAGAACATCGACGAAGACAAGATTGCCAAAATGTATTCACAGCTGCGTCAGGAATCGTTCGCCACCGGTTCTCTTCCTATTACCGTGCGCCACATTGAGAGCGTTATCCGCATGTCAGAGGCGCATGCGCGGCTTCATCTCCGGGAGAACGTCATCGAGGCGGACGTCAGCATGGCCATTCGTATGATGCTGGAAAGCTTCATCGAGGCACAGAAGTTCAGCGTAATGAAAAAGATGCGTAACACATTCCAGAAATATCTGGCTTTCCAAAAAGATCACTCTGAGCTGCTGTTCTTCATTCTGCGACAGCTAACACTTGACCAGTTGGCCTACATTCGGTGCAAGGATGGTCCAAACGCCACGCACGTGGAGATTATGGAGCGCGATTTGATCGAACGCGCCAAGCAGCTTGATATCAGCAATTTGAAGCCATTCTATGAGTCTGATCTTTTCCGCACGAATGGCTTCTCATACGATCCCAAGCGTCGAACCATCTTGCAAATTGTCGCCGATGGCGCTGCCTAAATTTAATAGGCACTTAAGTTCAACTTACTTTAAGAAAATCACAAACTTACCTTTGTTCATGTCCCATTCTCGTATATTTTGTATGTTAAATAAACAATTCATTTTGATTAAAAGAAAGCATGAGTTCTTTAGATCATCTTATATTCTAATCATCAAAAGGTGAACCTTTTTATTTGGATTTGAAAATGCTTCTTTATCGGATTCCCTGCAAAATTAGTGGCGCAGTCAACAACAGGTAAAATAGAAACAATATGTTGAATAGTATCAAGATAGTTTCTTAATGTTAGTTGAAGCTTGAGAACTTCAATTTCGAAACATGCAATATACTTATACTATAGGTATGTGAACTAATTATTTTTAACGTTTTAAATTAAAAAAGAAACTTTTCTTTTTATTTGTAAAGTTTTGGACTAACATACATTTTCGCAATCTATACATTAAAAACAATTTTGTAGTGGTCCATTTTCATGATTAATCAATCATTGCCATTGTCTTCAATGCCCATTGCCTTGTCGAAGTCCTCTTCGCTAATCTTATTCTTTTTCAGTCTCTTAAATAGCCGTATGTCACTGGCCAACTCATCGAGATCAGCCTGAGTGAATTTTTGCTTCCGCTTGCCCAGAGTGTTGCTGTCCGAAGCCTCACGCTTTCGCTGCTTTTTCGCTTTACGCAACTCCTTTTTTGATTTGGAATCCAGTTTAGCCTTTTTCGTCTGATCCCAAGACTCGGTACGTTTTTTGAATTGCTTTTGGCCAGGCCAGCTTCCCGTCTGCTCGTACGTTTTCTGTTTTTCCAGACGCACTTGCTCCTTTTGTGCGTTCTTGTACTTTAGCTTCGCTAAGTCCACCTTAAAACTAGGTTCAATAAATCCATCGGAATTATAGTTTTTCAGCTCAGGCATGCGTGGCAGCTGTAGCAGCCCATAGCTGGTAGCCATTTTGCCCAGATCTATATCTTTCAAGCGTAGAATTGCGCTGCACTCGTGCTTAGTGTAGGCTCGAACATGGGAAACAAAGGCCCGCATGGCCTTGTCATAGACACCCTTGTCCGCAGCCTGCTGTCGATGCAGCTTGTCCACTACGTTCTGCAGTTCAGCATCGGACTGAACGCCACTCATGTCCGACAGCTCACTCAACTCTACCTTTTGATTAAGTTTTAAGAAAGTTACGTACGCATCCTCGCTGGGCAACAGAAATACAAGTGCATTGCCCTCGTTGCCTTGGCGTGCAGTGCGACCGACTCGATGTACGAAGCTGGATGCATTGGAGGGCGGATCCCACTGCACTACCCAGTCGATTTCAGGCACGTCCAAACCACGCGCTAGCACATCCGTACAAAGCAGGACGGCCTGGGACTCATTGCGGAAACGCTCAACAACATTCGCGCGCTTGTTTTTCATTTTCCCGTGTATGCCGAGAACACAACGGTCTGGCAAAAGCGGCGGCAGTGTCTCCGCCCAGTACTCGACGCAGGCGCAGGTTGGGAAAAAGACCATGACTTTTCCGGCGCGTGCACTGGCGGACCGTAAGAATTGTAGCAAAGCCAAGAACTTCTGATCGGGTTCGACGATTTTGTAGAAGTTCTGAAGACGCGCTGGTGTGCTTACGGTGGCCTTCTCCTTAACGGAGACTAGAACAGGATTGCGCAGACCTGCCCGTATCAGATCCGTCACCTCGGTGGTCTGAGTCGCAGAGAAGAGGCCTGTCCGACGCTGGCGTGGAAAGTAGCCTAATATGTTGTTAACAGTTGCCTTGAACCCCAAGTCTAGCAATCGATCTGCTTCGTCCAACACCAAAAACTCTAAGCTCTTAACGTGTGCCGCCAAGTTCAAATCGCCTTTCCGTTGAAATAAATCCTCCAATCGACCCGGTGTGCAGATGAGAATGCAAGGTGCATCTTGTTTGAGCCTCGCTATGTCATCTTCAATACTGTTGCCGCCAACAATAAGCTGCTGCCGAAAATGCCGCAGATCCGGGTGAATCAGAAACTGTGCGAGCACGTCAGATATTTGTCGCGCTAGCTCTCGAGTTGGTGAGATGACTACTGCGCCGATTTCTTTACCAGACCAGGGTGTTTCTGTGTGACGGCGTTGTAGAATCTCCAAAAGTGGCACAAGAAACGCTAGCGTTTTTCCTGATCCAGTCACAGCCTCAGCGGAGACGTCCTTGCGGGAGAGCAGCATTGGAATGGTCGCCGTCTGCACGGGTGTCATCAGCTCGAAGCCGAAATCTTGAATGGTATCGAGTATCGGCTGCGACAATGGTGGTTTGTCCAAGGAACTCCATTTTTTACGAGACATTTTTGTAAACAAATACACGTGCACTTGTGTTGTTTCTGTCGCCTATCAGATAGAGATGAGCGATTCTGTAAAATTATGAATATATTAACTTTCAGAAGGAATCGAATTGCATGGGCTTAACTGCCGAGAAAATATATACGGGTACATAATATGCACACAATTCATATATTCTTACCTCTGCATTTTAATCTTTAGAGCATTAAAAATATAATAATAAAATCGCAAACATTGCTTACCTTCTCACTAAAGATAAAGTACGTGGAGGTTGCCACTTCGTTTAAAACAAACTAATATGTTATCTAACATAATGCTGGAGCAATGAGCTTTGGTTCGAGTGTTCGGTTTTGTCAAATAAATGTGTTTAACTCGGAAAATCGTAAATTAACATGAAAAATGTATAACGATTTCAAGAGATAATATTTAAAGATTTTCATTGACAGCGCAGCAATAAGTTTTTATGTAACGACTATCTACGGGAAATATCTGATGAGATCAAATTTCGGAACCAAAAAGTAAGATTAATATTTTTTATTTAATTAGAAAAAGGTATTCATCTCGGGCCAAAAAAATTTTTTTAAATAAAATAAATAAAGGCTGATCATATTTTTTGGGGTTTTTTTAAGAATACATTTTATGATATGTATGTTATCTCCATTGATCATAAAGCTGGGTTTATTTTCTCTGCAGCTTTTGGGAATTAATTCATATACAAGAATATTAATAGAATACAGAATATATTGAATGTACCCTTTTCGCAAATTATTCAATATTTTTTGATTGGCTATTTAAAATTGATTGTCTTACACTGAAATGCATAATGCAAGCATTATGCGTACGCCACAAAGTTTAATGTGAGGTAATAACGGCATACCTTCTATGCTTGTACTTGTAATATGGGTTAATGATAAAACGGTTGGGAAAAATGCAGGGTTCGCAAAAAGTGGTCATTAAGCAGAGAGAGGGAGAGCTCATTTTATTTGTGTATATCCACGGAAAGAAAACATGTTATCCGACTACATTAAAAAAATTCTCATTTGTAGATGTGGCCTATTTGAATTCCTTGGTTGAATCCGCGGCCAATGACATAAATAACGTTAAATTCTGTTAAAGTTTATTTCGGCGGTGTTGTTATTATGTACGTATCCGAAATAATAACGGGGTCCATCCATAGTTATGGAAATCAATCATAATACTATTCGCTATAAATATACTTTTTTTAAACGAAATCGAAAAAGACAAACCCACAACTTAATCAAAGAGGGGGAAATTCCATGACTACAAAGAACTCAAAAATTGCTTCCCATTTGGATGAGCGCAGCCAATAAAAAGACTACTACTACTAGTCCTGCGCTGACACCATGTGCTGATACTTTCGACTTTCGCCACTACTCGGAAAAATTTCAATGGATTTACTACTCTCCTTCTAGTTTACTTTTACTTGTAGTTCAATTTTGCACGTGTGAAGTAACTACCATTATTACCTGAAAGTTTTCAGTTCTTCTGAATTCGATGATGTAGTTGTATCCTTTTTTGAAGTATAGGAAATAGATTTTTGAAAGCGTAATTAGGAATCACATTCAAAAGTATGTTGTTTATATAAAAGTCGCAAGCCCATGTTCGTCTATAGTCGTATTTTAATCTAAAATACTGCAAAATATATGGAATTTTCGAAAATTCATCGTAAAAAACTTAATACATATCATTTAGAATACACATTTACTTTTATTTTACCATTTTAAGCCACTCACTTAAATAAACATAAACAGATGTATGTAAATATGCGTATGTGGTTCTTTTGAAGACCCCTCACCTGCCTTGGCATTAATATGAGAGGAACACTCAAGGAACGCTCCTTGAATGTGTGTATGTATAGTATACCGACACTAAACTCGCCATTGCAATAGAAAATACTCGCCATTACAGTATAATATACATAAATATTTATATAATTTTGAATAATGTATAAATTTATGTATCGACATGAAGTTTTTACCAAAATGAATGCAAAAATATTGAAAATTTCATACTGATTCTAATTTTGACTTTGGACAATCAACGGCATATTAAAATTTGATTTTATATCTTGTTCCTTAATTGCAGTTATCCATTGACACACCCAAGTTCAACTTAAATGACCGGCCCATTCTGCTTTGTACCGAGATTTTTGTACGGCTTGCCACCGTTCCGGTCCCACTCGCGGTTGAACTCGTGCTCAAGTATTTCGGCGCCACGCTTCCGCGTCAGTCCCGTCTCCTCCAGACTCAGCTCACACATTTGCATGTCATCCGTGCCGGCAACTAGCAGAATGGGTGGCTTATCGGCATGCAGCTCCATTTGGCGTGCGATCCACTGGCCATCGAAGTGAGCGTACCATAGGCCGCGTTTAGCTAAAATATGTTCATACTTTACAGAATCCCAAGGCAGATAGCTTAACTTGTTTTCTTACTGTTGTCCGGTGCATTGGCGCGCATGAAGGGTATACGGAAGTACCGATGCTGTGCTGTCACAATCTCCTGTATGGGCTGCACAATAGGTGGTTGCTTGAATGCTGCCAAAATGTACAGTTAACATTTTGAACGGTTATCAATTTAAGGACTAACTCACCTGCCTCCATAACGCTTCGAGGTGCACGTTCATTCTCATCCATGGTGGTGCGTTTGCGGTTCTTTGCCTTCCAGGCATGGTAAACCTTTAAACGACGATGGAATTCTTGACGACAGGCCTATATAGATACGAAAGATCCATATGCATATTCAGGTGTTTACTTTGTAGTGCTTCCATGAAACTTACCTCAAGGAGTTCGATATCACACGATGTATTGATAGCATCCCGCAATTCCGAATACTTCCACTTGGACAAGTCATATTTCTGTTTTCCCAGCGCCTGTTGCTGTGCTCGCACATTCTCGGATCTAAGTACGTATTGTTGTTGAAATAAGGCATTTAGGAAATTAGCAATGCACGAATTATTGCAGAAACATTTTAAAACGGGCATATCAAGCAAAGTGAGTCCTTGATGGAGGTAAATTTTATATATAAAATTTAAGAAAAAAACAGAAGCAAGTCTACCAGTTAATCAAATTAGTTTAGCCAATTCTAAGTGAAGCGAGTGTTAGTGGATGAATGAAATCTATATTAAATTAGTGTTACAGTTTGGAAAAGCACAACCAGCACCAACTCACTTATTTAAATATCGCGAAGCAATGTTTGACACAACTTGTGAAAAACTTTTTGAAAAATATACAGAAAGTAAAGAAACAATATAGAAATGTAGAATTTATTTGTAAAAGTTATCCAATTAGTCTTTTTAAAAGAGGTTTTTAGAAAGCAAGAATAATTAATTTTTGTACAAGATGTTTTTGGTAGCAATGTAGAGAAATAAAACGTGCTGTACCTGATCAGTTTGTTGGGGCCCATGGGGGATACGTCATTCACACCACCACTGTGTTGATTGGATTGTTTGACGGTGTGTGTAGATTGTGGGAATTTGTGGAAAAGAGCGTGTAAAGAAGGGGGAAGAAGTTTGTGAATTTTTAAATAAACACTTTTTACAATATTGTTAATAAAGTACTGTATACATCCCTCGGGTCTGAAGTTTCAGCACAATAACTAATTTGTGTGTCGGAACTTCGACTTATACTGCTGACCTTTCTTTTCTATTCCTACGATTCTATACATTCAAATATTTTATGCAAAACGCAAGCCCTTAATTTAAATTGAAGGATGCAAGGATAAAATATTCATGGTACAAACTTAAATACTCTTTAAAGGGGATATTCATTTGACAGCGCACACCGTTCTCCTATCACATAATACCTACAACTCTACTTCATCATTCCAATAATAATAAATAATATTGTTTCCCCAGCGATAAACTTTGGTTAATCTAGATTAATTGTTGGTAACCTTAATAAACAATTTATAATTATTATAAAAATATACAGCTTCAACCTACAAACCCGAGTTTATGTACAAAACCGTCTGCCACTTTAGGGAAGGAGCAACCGATTCGATGCGACTTACTTGCGTATCACAGGCGGACTGTCTTCGACTTGACCATTGGATTCGCTGGCCAAACGCAGGGCCAATTCATGATCCCGACGCTCCTGCTCGAGTTGTTGACGATATTTGGCGTCATCCTTAGCTTCCTTTTCGAGCTGTGCCTGGAGAGCCAGGGCGGCGCGGCGGTCCTCTTCTTCCTGCTTCAAGCGCTGAGCTTCGGCAACTTTGCGCCGAGTTTCCATTTCGGCTTTTCTTCATTGCGAAAAAAGTTTAATAAGTACATAATATTTTATGGAGGTATTTTGTGGAGGTACTAACAGTCGCTTGTTTTCCATATCTTCGCGCTGTCGTCGTTCTTCTTCCTCCTTGGCACGACTTTCTGCTTCTAGGGCTTCTTGTATCTTGTGCAAACGTTCTTGTTCCTCGGCTTGCTGCTGCTCCTTTAACTTCGTGTTCAGATCGACTGTCAGCTTATTCATATTGGCCATAACTACAGTATACATTGAGTCGATTTCGCGCTGCGTGATACGTGGATTTAACTGTAATAAGAGAGGTGGATAGTTTGAGAAAAAGAACATAGCAAGGAAAGTAAGTAGAGCGTACCTTAATTTTTGCAATGGCATCATCGATCTGCCTGTAAATTTCCTTCACACCATCAACGATTTCATCGCGTCCCAATTTGAGGCCACCCGCAATCTCAATTGTTTTCAGGGTGTTCGTGCGTATCTTGTTGATCTTGGAAATGCCCTGGTAGCGGGGACGATGATGCTTGCGAGCTAGGAACCCACGCACTGTGCGTTGGACCATCAAGACGCACTTGTTGCGGAATTTGATACGGTTGCGTACTGGGAAAGATATATGACAAGGCGTTTAGAAAATTGTATTCAAGGGTCCAAGAAAAGCTTGAGAAAAGATATTGTAAAATAAATTAAAATATACAACTTCGGTGTTGCTGTCTTTAACAACCAAAACAATAAATTCAGAATATGGAAAATAATATGAAGTCTTCTAGATCTTTTTACCTATGAAGCAAAAGTATACTAGAGTGAACTATGGACCCCAAAATGAATAATTTCGAAATGGGAAGCTGCAGTTTTCGTACTTACATTTAATGACACACAACGCGCCCAATGCAGACTTAACCCAGCGGGAGCGTATGAGCCACTTCTTCACCTTGGCCACGATGGCCAACATATTTTCGGGATCAGATTTCATAATGCGATCGAAAGACGCAAATTTTCCAGGTCGGAAGAACACCTTTGTAATCCCGAATTTAAAATCCCTGGAGCTAAGATTGAGCGACTGGAACATGGCCTCGCAAAAGGTGCGAGGCGGAAGCGCCACTAACTCGGGCGGTAGCACCGATTTGTACATGCTGTAGAGATCAGCAAAGAGCACACGGGATGGATAACCATGTTCCATAAGCTCAAGCACGGAAATGGTTCCGGAACACTTGAGCTGGGCCAGAGCCAGACTGCCTTCGAACTGGCGATCCACCATCTTGCTGTTGGGTTTAATACAACGAATAAAGTTCGTGCCCTGTAAGGAATGAGATGAGGCGACATGATTAAAAGCCAGACAAAGTGTTTCATAACTTACATTTTGCTCCAGTTTTTCCATGAGTTCGCCCAGTTGCGTCTTAAACTTGGAACCTACGGATATAAAGTTAAGCTTGCCGCGTATGGACGTATTGCTGCCTGAAGGAAAAAGCATCTTGAGCAATGGATTTTCGCATTCCTGCACCAGACCCTCAAGCGAGGCGTGCAATGCATCGTTGTTCTTTTCGATGAACTGTTCCGTGTTATAGCAGACGGCTCCGGCGAAATGGCGCACCAAGAAACCTTCCTCATCACGGAGAGTACGATGTGCCTTAAGGCGCGAAGAACGTGGCAGACCCAATCGGAAATGATTGGCCCACGACTTGTGCACCTCGGCAGTAAAATGCGCTGGCGATGGTTTTGGCAGCTTCGACTCCTCGTCCAGTAAAGTGAATATGCCAGACGACTTTGATTCAATCAGGTCAATGATATCTTGATTGTCCGTGAACGTAATTTCTGGCACGTTGAGGCCTTCACGTTTGTATAGCTCCTGTTCATTCTTCAGAATGTTATCGTTAAAGAATTTTTGCAGCTTTTCATTGCAATAGTTGATGCAAAACTGTTCAAACGAGTTCACCGTAAAGTATTCAAAGCCGGCAATATCCAGTACGCCAATGTAGAAGTTGGACGCTTGAAAAGGTATGCTTTGATTGATCAGACCGACAATGCGATCAAACAAGCGACTGTAGATGGCCTTGGCCAATGCATCGCGTGCGCTACTTGCCTCGTAGATTTTCAGAGGAACCCTGAGAATCAGATAAGAGATCATGAAGACGACAAAACAGTTGACAATTTTTCACTTACATGATAACCGTGCCCTTGAAGCCGCCGCCCTTACTCTGCATGACCCGAGAGACCAAAGCGGTACGTAGTTCCGTTTGATCGACGCCCAACAATCCGCTCGTAATGGTGAGTGAGTTTTCTGATGCCTCGGATACCTGGCAGCCGCCACGGACATCATCGGGTATTTCTTCAAAGGCAATATTGCCAAGATGAAGCACAGCAGCGACCAAGGAATAAATGCCCAACTTTTCTGACTCAGACAGTCCCAAGCGACCCAGAGCCTTGTCCAGATTCTGAAAATGCTGATAGTCATCGATGATCGGATCCTTAAGTGGGCCCTTTTGTTGATGGTTCTTCGACTTCTGGGTGCCCGGGATTAGCTGTTCAGTCTTCGCATTCGTGAAATACTGGGTACAACCGGAGAGGTACTGCAAGATTTAGAAACCAAAACATTATAGCTTTTATGATAAATGCACAATGATGGCCTACAGTGCAACACCTACCCGATAATCATCAGGCTTCCCCAGATGCAACTTGTCCCGCAGCTGCTGCGGTGCACCGGCAAGGAGCATGTAGAACACATGGTAGTTACGCTCTTCTGAGCTTTGCCTACAGATACGACTCTTCTCAAGCAGGTAATGCGAGATGTAGCCGCCAACCACCTGGCATTTGGCGTCATAGTGCACCTCAATGAATTTGCCGAAGCGCGACGAGTTGTTATTGCGAGTGGTCTTGGCATTGCCAAAGGCTTCGAGCACGGGATTGGCTGCGAGAGCAGACGTGAGTTAGGAGATACCCCTTTAATAAGAACACTCACATACCATCCAAAATTTTAGTCTCAATGGGTCCAGCGCTGTCATGGGAGTGGCACAGATATTTTAGTAAATATTTTGTTGATTCCGTTTTTCCAGCTCCCGACTCGCCAGAGACAATGATGGACTGCGAGCATTTGTACACGCGCATATCGCGTATCGCTTTGTCGGCTGAAATAAGTATGAATACGATTTAAAGCAATTAACTTGTATCTTCTAGCTTCCTTCTTACCAATAGCAAACACATGCGGCGGCAATTCACCCAGAGAGCGTCCATTGTATTTCTTGATGGTTTCCGAAGAATAAAGCTCCTTGATTTCACGATAAGGGTTCACTGCAATGAGTATGTTGGCCACATAGGTCTGCACGAATATTTAGAAGTACACATTAAATACGAACTCCTCTTGTCTAGTCAGCAACCACTTACATAAATTTTGTCTTTGTAGTAACGCGTTTTGAGGTTATCCAAAAAAGTGGCCTCATTCAGTAACATAAGTTCACCTGGAATATCAGGAAGTATAATTTATTAAATTGCTTCTTTTCGGAAGCGAATAGTACACTTGTTTAACTGCCAATAATCTGCTTTGCGCAACCGTGTTTTAAGATTCTTCTTAAGGCCGTTATCTCACTTTCTATGTTCTGTTTACGAACAATGACTCATGAAGAATAGGACCTGTGAAACTTTGTTCGAATATGGAAGTTTAACATTTTTGAATGTTGAGCTGTTAAATAATTGTGTAGCTCAGGAAAAAACATATGGTTAACTATTATCTTTTTGTACATATGCGAGTACGGTTTAGTATTGTTTAGTATCGCCAAGAAAGATATGATGTCAGCAGCACTGTCTAAATAAGATATTTATTTTTCTATAGTATAGTATAGTATATTCGAACGTGTTTTGATATTTTTATGTAACGCCTGCAGACCTGTTCTCCATCAGAACTCAAAGAAATAATGAGCTCATGGTAATCTAGAGGGATAGGGGGGACTCACAGTTATCATCATGATCCTGGGGTCCGTCGCACGAAGAGTGTATGTCATCGTAGTGGCACGTACGCTTCGGAAATTTACGATCAATTGGCGTTACTTCAAACTCCTTGGCACCGATTTCCGTAATGCGACCCTGTATATAGCCATCAGCAGGGTCTCTTACCCACACCAATTGAGTGTCCTCCAGCATTTTGCGCACTGTGAAAATGGATAGACATCAGAATGGAATATTTAAAGCAATATATTTTTGTGTCTATCTACACAACAGATCAGTCTACTGCAAAAGTAAGTTCCCTACAGTAATCAAAATAAAAAATCTTATCTACCGTCACTCTCGGGCCGCACAACCACTCGTAACACTAGTCAAAAAAGCCAGAAACGTTATGAGCCGCGCCGTCACAGTTCACAAAAGCAACTGAGGGGAGAACGATCGCTGAGCAAGCAATTGAGCGATCGTAGCGTCGCTTTGGAGTTAAACGGCAACACCGACACTCATCACCGACGAAGACGACCAAATAACCGTCATTAGCGCTCCTACTCGTGTGTGTGATCGTCGTCGTGTCGTCGTCGCTCTGTTGGTTTCCCATTGGCACTATACCAGCCCGGTGTTTTATGGGGGTTCTATAGAGCGTCGTCATTAACTCTACCTGGCACTGCACTGCCTATTGTGCTTCTTTCTTTGTCTTTGTCGCTGTGGCAGTTTCTTCTACCTTTCGTATTGTCTATCTGCCGATTGCCTTTCTTGGCCATGCTCCACTCGAATGTATGTTCTAGCTGCCGTTGACTCACGGCCGTGTTCACGTTTGATAAGCAGAGTCGCAGCCCATTCTCCGTTCTCTATTCCGTGTAGGTGTCGATACAAGACCCACAACAAACACGGCCTTGTTGGATACAAAGCTGTCGCGTTGTTTTCAAATCTATTCGCAATAACCATATTAAACCGCAAGCTCTCATTTACAAACAGTTGCCCCACTCGTTCTCTCCAAACTCATGCTTAGTCGTATGTGTGTATATACTATAGTATATGGAAAAATGTATATCTGGTAAACAAGACAATGACGTTGACAATTGTTTTAGCTGCGGCAGCGTCAAGGTGAAATTCATTTGTTTAGTCGCTTCGGGTTAATGGTGCGTAGCCGGGTGGTCAGGGGCGTGCGGGCCCTATTCATTGACGCGGCATTCTATATTTTGCGAATTTGCGACTGCGCTGGTGGGATTCTAAGCTATGTATGTCAAAATAATAATAATACAAAAAAAAACGAGACAGATTTCATATTGGTGCAGACAACAAACAATAGTCTGGCTTTGGCCGCAGAGCGCCCCTCTCCAATTAAGATAAATTTACAAAAGTGCTAAATTATTAAGTGATCGTTAAAACCATTTCTGTTTCCCCCAGAGATTCAGCTCAGCTGTCAGTTGGCTGTGGGTAAGCGTCGTTTTCAGTGTGGGTGCAGAGACAATTATAAATGACAAAGGGAATCAAGATTTCCACATACAGAACCATTTGTATACCCTGTACCCGTAGGGTAAAAAGGGTATATTAGGTTTGTGCAAAGTATGTAACATGCAGAAGGAAGCATCTCCGACCCCATAAAGTATATATATTCTGAATCAGCATGACGAGAGAAATCGATCGTCACATGTCCGTCCGTCCGTCTGGATGAACGCAAGGATCTCAGAAACTATAAAAGCTAGAATAACCAAAGTTGGCTCCCAGATTTTCCTAGGTCCGAGAAAGGACGAGTTTATTTTTTTTTTTTAATTTCGGGCTTGCTCGACTGTAGCGTTCTCTCTTGTTTATAGCTATGTATGTATGTACAAAAATGATGAAGAGAACATTTAGTTAGGGAATCGTGATCGTGCACATAAGTTTTTTTTACTTAAGAAACTGAATGTGTTCTTTTATTATTTTCTGATTTAGCACGAGATTCGAACTGGAGATGAGTTTCATTCGACGGCTTTTAGAATGGAAAGAGAATGTGAGTACAACAGCTCTCTTCCAGAACCGTTAATAATTCATTGGATGCTGACATAATATATGTTTTTGTCTGGAAAAAAGTACATTTTGTTCAGCGACTTTCAGCTCTAATTGCATTTACTTGTACGTTATCGAAGACCTATCAAAAGCAACTGTCTCTTCCATACGTGACGCCACGCACATTTTAAAAAGGATGACCTTTTTATCTTCGACGTGATGCGGACTGGAGTGCATTCGCATTTAATCTTATATGCATGCTTTTAATGAACATATCCATCCCAATAGGCCCATTTCGCAGCGCAGCTGCGTAGAAAGTGGAGCCTAACCTTTGCTATGGCTGAGATCGCTTTGCAATGTGCCACGCAAATTAACAACAATTTTTCAGGCAATTTAACATAATCTTGATTATGTTGGGGCCTAAAAAGCATTGCTTCAGTTGTTGTTTTTATTGCTCAGCCCGCGATTTGTCTAGTACTTGGATCTTTGCGCCGCTGCACATAAAAACTCTGCCATCATGAAACTGCAGCGTCCGTCGCCACGGAGGCATAAATTACATATTGCAAAAAGAACTTGCATAAAAGAAGCACAAAAAGACAACAACCACATCTCATCAAGGCAACTGTGTGTGAGATGAATGCAACATTTGATGTACAAGTAGATGGCTGTTTCTGAAGAAGAAGCTGTCTTGCCGCATTCTTGCAGATTGCATGGCATGGAAATGTACCGCGGGCGGGGCTAGGCAAGCCGAGCCGAGCCGAGTCGAGACCAAAGTCAACGTGTCGAGCCGAAATGCAACCAAGTGTGGCAGCAACAGAAACAACAACAAAGAGCATAAATGACTTGGTGACGGAGGAAGTGTTGGAAGACGACATTGACAATGGGCGCGCCAGAGAACAAGCGGACGAGGTGGCAGAGCTAGCCGAGGTGTGGAGCATTATTAAGAACACCGAGACCATGCATATGTAATGAAACGGAAAAAGTCAAGTGCGGCCGCAGTAGTGATGCACATACTCGTAAAATGGCATTGAAGGGAAACATCGATATATACATGGGTAGATTAGCTAAGCTACCCCCTCTCTTTTAGGCGTATAGTTACGCTCTAGAAATATGTATACTGCCAGCAGAGCATCATCCAACTATGCGAGTAGACCTTCCATCTACCTTTCAGCATTTTAATTCTATTATCCTAATTTATAGAAAAGGGTCAGGCGTACTCAAGAGTAACTAAGAAGCCATTGCAAAAATAAGATTGAAAATAGAAAATACTCTACGATTGCACCTGCTGCCGAAGAAGAAGTGTTACTGCATGATTTTTAGCTCCATAACTTTTTGTATTCCACTTCTACATACTATGTGATAATTTGTTTAGTCTTTTATTTTACATATGCGCTCTTTTTCCTCTAGTATCATCTGCTTCTGAATTTAAAAATGTCTACAGGAAACGAATTAGGAAGAAACGGTTAACAATTTTATCACTCAATATTTCCTGGTCATGGAGTTCAAACAATGCCGATGCTTCGTCGATATTTATTTCCATCTCTAGAAGGCATCTGAAGAAGAAGAAGAAGAAGGAAGCGAGAATAGGGTACAAGCTTATGAAATGTGAAGCCGCTGTGACACTTGCCTTCTTTATGTTGCTCCCCATTCCATGGGTCGACATTTACAGGCGGTGCATGAGAGTAATGAGGCCAGGGTGCACTGTAGGCCTGCAGGTTGTGCAACTAACCGGCTTATATCGGTGGGCCTGAGACGTTTTCTTGACCACGGGTCAGTCCACGGCCACCGATGCGTATACGTAACCCGAGCACATGTATTGACACTTTTTGACCAGTCAACCAAGAGGACAATTAGCAAAGTGCGGCGGAATAAACTGAAAAACCAAAATCAGACACGCTCGGCAACAACTGCGTGATTTGCAGTTACCGCCCGTTTGACGTACTGCCGGCCAGATTGACAGACAGTCGTGCGGTTCTACTGCTCTGATAGTTATATTAAGTGGGCAGTGATATCATCAGAAAACTTTTGAACACGCCTCCGTCCTCTTAGCAAGTGAATCAGCGATATTGCGTGCTAGGCTCGACTAGGTTGGCGTTTGCTTTTGGGTTTCATGTAAATTGCACTCGCCTGTGCACAAATGGGGACAGGGACAGGGACGGCGGAGGTGGATGTTAATGTTAGTACAGAGGCTTATGCTGCTCACAGACTGGATGGTTTGCCTGATGACATCATCAAATCATCAAATTTGGTAGCTTCCTAGTCTGTCTAGTTGCTAAGTTCTCCTATTGCCTGCTATCGGTCATATACTTGTAGACTTTCAAAAATAAGGCTATTGTACTGTGCGCCCAAGTTGCTATAAATTGAATACAAAGAAGACAGTAATGGCGTTGTTACAGTCGAACAAATGCGCTTTAATTTACTGAATTTTATGAGCCGCTTTTGTTTTCTCACGTATGCAAAATTTCGAAATAATTTCACTCCAAGTACAAATAACCAATTGAAATTAAAACAAGAAAGGAATGCTAAAGTCGAGCAGGCTCAACTCTTAAATACCCTGTACCACCCCACAAAAAAGTAATTAAATTAATTAATTAATTTAATTTAATTAATTAACTAAATTAATTTAATTAATTAACTAAATATTAACTAATTAAATATAAAATATTCCATGCATGCATACATACATTTACATTTCCATCAGAATCGTGCTTTATGCGTGTTTGTGTACTTGCACATATGTATGTATGTGTGCATTGGGCCTGGTTATATGGCTATAACTTTCTTTCCGATCATTCTATCATAATAAAACTTGGTATACGGATATATAATTACTAACTGTATGTGTCTACCATTTTAGTTCAAAATTCCAAGAATTACGGGAGTTATAGAAAATCGTTAATAGGCGGGGAGTGGGGGGGTGGATCAGAAAAAATGAACAAACTCGTCCTTTCTCGGTCTCAGGAGAATCTGTATACCAAGTTTGGTTATTCTAGCTCTTATACTTTCGGAGATCCTTGCGTTCATACAGACAGACAGACGGACAGACAGACGGACAGACGGACATGGCTATATCGACTCGGCTTGTCATGCTGATCAAGAATATATATACTTTGTGGGGTCTACCAAGCCTCCTTCTGTGTGTTCCATGTGCACTCGCACAAAACTAATATACCCTTGTACCCTTTGGGTACAGGGTATAAAAATGAGATATTTAAAAAATGCA